TCGACTGTATTTTTAAAAAGTGTATTGGGCAAAGACCGATATTTATAAGGGCAAGACATATATTGCATGGAGCGCAATCATGTAGCGTAAAAAGGTAAAACGGACATAATCGTGCTAATTTGCTGGGCGCAATCGTGTTACGTTTTTTGAATGTAAAAAGGTAAGACGGGCGCAATCGTGTTACAGCCGAAAAGAAGTTGCCGGAAGGAAAGGGTTTAAGAGTGAGTAATTGGCTAACTGGTTCTAGACTACCTATAGACTATAGTCAATAGTCAATACTCACAATTGTCCATTTCATATACTATACTGGGCCCTAGAAATGTCTTCAGTAACATTTTATAAACGCGAAATTAAAATGGGACAAAACGCTGTGGTCGATTTGAGCAATTATCTACGTGAGGTGTGTGTATGGAACTATGGAAGTTAGAAAATAATTATGAAGAAATTGGTAGCCCCGGTCTTATTATCGAAATAGATGACAGTTTATTTATGCGTAGAAAAAATAATGCTGGACGTATTCTGCCACAGCAATGGATTTTTGGTGGAATATGTCGGGAAATCAACGCGTGTTTTATAATAAGTGTACCTGATCGATCGAAGAAAACACTGTTACCTATAATACAAAAACCAAAAAAATAATTTAAAACCGGGTTCAATAATTATGTCAGATTGTTGGAAAGCCTATAATAATTTGTAGCAAGCGGGATTTATATACATAATACCATTGATTATAAATACTAGTATTTAAAATCAATGACAATACCGTTAACCACGCCTATAATTTTATTGATCCGTACACAGGGGCACWCCCCCAAAATATCGAGAGGTTATAGGGTTCTGCAAAGTGGGAAAATAAAAAGCGCCGTGAAACTAAAACTAATAAGAATTTTTTGGAGTCCTATTTGGCTGAATTTATATGGAGAACACCAGAACACGTCTCGGGAAACAAGATGCATTTCAAGCTATTTTAAAAGATATTTCAGAGTTCTGGCCTCTCCTTTGTAATTTAGCAATTTTTTTTTTTAAATTTATAATTATATTACATTTTTTAAATTTGAATTTTATACTTTTTTTAGTAGTATTAAATATTGAAATAGTTTTTATATTTATTGTATTTTTTTATTTATGTATTAAGGCGGGGCGATACATTTTTTACGGGGCACTGGCGGGGCGATAACAAAGTATCCCGCCAAATACCCTACATAAAAATATTTTTTCCTAGAGTAGGTAGCTGTGTCATTAAAGCCATGATATGGCATGATGCCATATTCCTTCGACGTTATTAGTATATTAAATATTTGCGCCACTTTCCGGGTTCTTATATTCTATTGAAAGGTTTACCGTCAATGACTATATCCTTCGTCTTTTAAACAGTCATAACTCTAAAAACATTGAACTCRTTTAAATTTAACACAGATGAGTTAAATCAATTAAAACACAAACTTACCTTCCAGCAATAACTTACCTATTATTAATGTTCCTAAAAAAATCCAATCCTTAATAATTATAGTTAATACTTAATAATGTGTCATTATCACGCTTCTCTACAGGTACGAGAAAACACCGACTTGTTTCGCGTTCAACTCCACCAAACACCCATTGGCCTTCATCAACACGATATGCGTCCTCTGTGGTATTTTCTCCTTCCAAATTTGGATTCATCAATTTCAACAACTATCCCCGTTCCACCTATACATACGAAGTATTTTTTTAAGAATAATCCACTAAAAATTGTCTAATATTGTGAAAATAATGTTAAAAATGTTTGCGTGTGGTATGGGCAATGCCTATATACGCGTGTTGCGGCGCGGACAATAAAAATGTGAAAATTGAGTAGGCACTTAATCTTCTATTTACCGATTTTTTCGTGTCTTAGTATCATACCGTCAAATATGACTTCTCGGTGGAATGAGGCTCAATTGACAAATGATTGCTGAGCTATTTTCAGTTGATTCCGAATAAATTCGAGGGACACTTTTTYGGTCCACAAATACGCGAATGTCACAATTTGAAATATTGACAAGTGGGAGTTTGAAAAAAAGTGGACTTTCGGATTGATTGGTAAAAATTGCACTTAACACATAAGTTTGTTTACATCGCCAAACGACACCGTTATAATAAGCTGTGCTAGGACATAATTCTAAAAAGTGGCTTTTATTACACT